GTAATGAAAAAAAAAAATAGTTAAAATGAAAGGTAATAAATTAAGGAAAAATCAACATTAAAATGGAAAAAATACAAAGAAAATGTATACTAACTAAAAGGAAGAAAATAATCAAAAAACAAAGGAAATAAGACAAAGAAATAGAAAAAAGTACATAACTAAATAAAAATAATAATATAAAACATATAAAACGAAAGGAAATTAATAATTGAAAGCAAATATGTGAAAGATAAAATTCGATAAGTTCAAAAGTAATGAGTAAAAATTAAAGGAAAAAGTAATTTTTGCCTTTTTTCTAATTGCAATTTATATATATATATATGCAATAACAATTACTTAATCTATATATATAAATTTCATAATATTATTACCATCAATACTATAATTAAGGTAAATTTTATTAGTCATAGAAATTGAAATACATTTTCTGCTGCAAAATTTAAAATTATTAAATTAATGGAAAAAATTAAATAATCAGAGAATTATTGACATACATAGTATATTTAAAATCAAATATTTTAAATATGTAATCTTTGATACTATTTTCTAAAAATATAAAGATTATTTCTTTATAGTTTTACAGAAAATCCACAAAAAATATTTAAAGACTAGTTTTGTTTTACCTAAAAAAATGCAACAGAGACAACGTCCAAAAAAGAAAAGTGCCAATTTTATATGAAAATAATAATTACTGTATTCAAAATGAATACTTTTTGTGGCACGATTCAAATATTATTTTAAAACCATTTAGGCTATGATGATGTTTTATAGATAAATCTTAGCGAATATGATACATTATTAATTAATAATCTTAAACCATAATAAACTTGATTATATTCTAAAATGACTAAATAAACTAATCTACTTGTAAATTTGATGTCATTTGCTATTTAAATACAATATTGATTGGTATTATTATTTATTATGAATTAAACATTTAATTAATAATTGATAACCATTTTACATTAAAAATATTTTCAATTTATAGATCATTTATTTCATCTATTAAAGTGTTGATTAAATCATAATAATTAGAATGAATCTTATTAAAAGATATGATCATAATATAGCAGGATTGAGACAGTTGTAAATCTATTTTGCAGAACTTCTAATGATCCAACCTACTAGTATTTAATATGGAGAAATTCCTCATAAATTATTTAGTGAAAAATTGATCATAAATCTCAAAAGAAATAACAAACAAATTTTAATAAAATGAATTTCTATTTTTAGTCAAAATCATTTTTATTTTAGCCAATGCAGCAACAAGACTAACTACTCCACAAATAACAACTTGACTAAACCCAATACTAATAAAACTCAATCCAATTTTAGTTAAAATCCCAAAACTTACTTTGGCAGCAACCTTATATAAAAAAAATGAAAAAGTTTAAGCCAAATAGGATAAAAAAGATAAAATAACTGAATTCCCTCCGCTGAATATATTTGCCACGATTAAAATAGCGGCCTTTGCCACACTTATGGTACATGTAGATATCTAAGGGATGAAACCAAGAGAAGGCAATGACAAGACTCCAACTTAAATAAACCCTCCAAATATCATACCCATAATAGTACAACCACCTACAAAAATTTTTTATTTTTTAGACCATTTTATAATTTCAATTTTTAATTTCAGTTCTTAGCACATGTCATATAAATCATGGAGGGAACTTATCTATATTTACTCAGAAGGGAAATAAACCCATTATATATAATGATTGTAAACTTCTTGTAAATATGCTTTCATCACTTTAATTCCATATAAAGTAGAGTTCTACTAGTATCGCACCAGCTGCAATAATTCAATTTACTAAGGGAATTAAATTAATTATAGATATACATGTAATAATTATTGCATTATCAAATATTTCCCATATACTTTACTATTTGGAACATCTAATAATTTCGCAAATAATAATATCAGAATGATGGATTTTTTAAATCAATCAATGCAATTTATTAATTAATGTCATATACATTTAATTATTCACAATATTTTAAGATGAATTTATCAAAATTTTTGCTGTTTAAAGAATGCTTTATATCCAACTCTTTCAGTTGCTTAATTATTATATCTTTAAGATTTCATTAATATATTTTTTGACAAATCAACATAATGAATATAAGAATGGCTAACTAAATTATACTTCTTGTGCTATGAAAATTAATCATATTTAACTTGAACAGTATATATTTTGTAGAACTAATCTTATTGATATATTTGTATTGTTAATAATGATGTTTTTTTCCATCTTTAATAGTAAAACAGGTAATTCCTTCTTATAAATTTTACAATATATATTAACCCTTCTCTTCTGTTTTTACAATTATTTTATAATGAAGTGGAAAAATTTTACTTAACAATTCATTCATCCATTAAAATGAACTCTTTTAGTAGATTTACTTTTAGTTAAGATGATTATAATTGTCTTTTAACAACCTCGTTTGTTATATTTTAAGAAAGTTATTCTTCGCTTAGTTAGTCAAGTATTTATTTTTAATTATATTAATTTATAGAAATTTTTATTTAATTCTGTTATTCAATTACAAAACATAATAGAATTATCTAAATATATTATCAACTTATTGATTCAATATTAAGAATTTTTATTACAGATTTTCTTAAGAATATAATGAATAGCATAATAAATAATTAAGTTATATTTTAATTAAAATTTGATGAAACCAATTTAATTATTTATACATTTAATAAAAAAACTTAACCTTAAATTTAATTTTTGTTCT